TACCGCCTTTCCCTGAAAAGTGATGCCAGTACAAACAAGTGGGCAAGTCCCTTTACACTTTCTGTCTTCTTTCAAGTTTCAACATCACACCTTTAAGCCTCCTGCCCTTTTTGTACTATGGCAAGAGCCATTAATGCTGAATTCAAAAGCTACTGACTTATTTGCTTGCTGGCAAGCCTTACTCTTTTGGCCTTAAATTGAACTGCTCACCCAATTTGGCACAAAGTCTTCTGGTGTGTTTAGTTTCTGCTTTGATTTTCCTGCTTTTTCTGCCTATATAGTTTTACTCTGTGTGAGCTCCATTAGAGTAAATTGCTTCTCGAAATCATCTATTTCCCCGCCCTTCTCTGAACTCCCTTTTTGTCCCTCTCTCTCCTTTAATTGAATATACTGCATTCTTCATAGCCTACTATTAACTACTTCAGATCTCTGTGTTAGCTTTTACACTGCTAATTGGAACGAAAGAATGTTCAGTGATTAACCTCCTTGTTTTTTTTTTTTAATAAAGTGCATTGCTTCATTATTTGTTATAACTTCATTTTTGGCCTTCTGAACACTTCTGTTTGTTTCTGGTCTCCAGGGGCCCCTTGTTCATTAAACATTTTTGCCAAACTCTAAAGATTCCTTCACATGTTGACATCTAAAGGTGGCCAAATCACGTAATAGTAACAAAAGGGTGGGCAAGTATTTGAGAAAAAGGGTTTAAATTAATTTCTTGCACATGAATTAGTAAATTAATTCACAAAGAAGGACCATATGTAAAAAAGAATCCATCCAATAGGTTTATTTGGATCTGAAAAACACATTCCTGTTCTGAGCATACAGGATTTCAGTTGCAAAGCATTTAAGCTACTGATGTATTTGGCCCAATGTTTTTCATAAAAGGCATTGCTTTGCAGGATGCTGTAAGAACATCCAAGTAGTGGAAAAGAAACTTTTATCTGTTTGTTAAAGCAAATTAAGATAAATGTGAGGAATGTCTAATGTTCAAAGTTGACAGCTTCTTTCTCTTCAGAATAAATAAAGGAATTGCCCTTGGTGGATAAAAGCTTGGCACAGGTTTCCAGAGCATTTAGCTATTTGGCACATTGTCTTAGCTTTGAGAGGCATAACTATGTTAAAAAAAAATAGCAATTGTTATGTGAGGACAAGAATGTAGGAAATAGTGTGCAAAAATGACATCTAATTTATTGTCTTCCAATTGGATTTCTTACATTATACATGATGGGCCTTTTTGAGATTGCTCTTACTCCAATCATTCCTCTTTACTGCCATTCCTCTTTACTGTTAACAGCAATTTATGTGTTGGGATCATTTGACTCTATCTAATTCATTATACAATATCCCTTAAGTGACACACAAAACTGGCATCTCATTTGTCAGCTTCAAGGTTCATTTTCCACATAATCCAGTGGACCAATTGCAATATATCAATTGATATAGAGAGAGTGCCATATACAATTCTTCAGTGTTACTGAAATAGATATAGTAAAAAAAATGCATGTTGGTTGCTTTGGTTCATGGGACAAAGGTATCCTTAGGGCAGCTCATGAGACTGATCAATAAAATAAATCAAACTAACCCTAAAGTTAAGATGGAAGGCTCTATCTTAACACCAGTTTCAGTCTCACTCTCTTGAGTTTAGTCACATTCTGGGCCCATTCATAGCTTGGGGATTCTACTGACTGCCCATTCCTTTTTAATTGGTTAAATGGCTCAAGTTGGCTTAAAAAAAAATCAGCCCCCATAGTCCTGGGATCATCACACCACCATAAAAACTTTGGGATTAAAGTAAGCAGGAAGCAGCTAGCAGAGAGGAATGGACATATAGCAATAGCACTTATATATCGCTTTATAGTGCTTTACAACCTTCTCTAGGTGGTTTACAGAGTCAGCATATTGCCCCCAACAATTTGGGTCCTCATTTTACCCACCTCGGAAGGATGGAAGGCTGAGTCAACCTTGAGCCTGGTGGGATTTGAACTGCCAAATTGTAGGCAGCTGGCTGCAGAAAGTAGTGTGCAGTACTGCACTCTAACCACTGCGCCACATATGCTACTCCTTTGAGGTAATATACTTTGTCACTGTAGCTATCATATGCCAGACATTCATTGGAGAAAGTAGCAATCATATGCCAAGCAAAGTGGTAAGTGATAGACAGTTCACACACTCAGCTTGCTCTTAATCTCTTATGACTGGTTGCAGTGTCTTGTGGTCACGTGACTGTGATTTGTGACTTTTTAACCATTTTCCAGCAGAAAGTGGCAAAAAACCCCACCCATTGGCATATTCTAGATTTGCTTAATGACCATATGGTTTGCTTAATGACTTATGGGTCGACCCTGAAGTTGACATCTGTGCAGCCATATTTTATTGTAGCCTTTGTCTATTCTTTTTTCTTAACTTTCTTTAGGGTTTCTGCTAAGGATTTTAACGGTGCTTCAGGCTCGCCACATTCTAGCAGCAGGAAGGAAGGGGGGTTGTAGAGATAAGGGGGAATGTTATGGCTAGTTGGCATTCCTTCCCATGGGAATTGAGAAGGTGCCTGCAGCTGGCGGAAGGAGCAGTTTGGAGTCATTGGACCAAAGGACTGTGTGCTGATTGGAGAATATGACTGGGGGGGGGGGTTTTCAAACTTTTGCTTTTAATGGGTGTAATTACAAGGTCTGGTCAGAGTTGGAATTATACCAAGGCCTTGCAAATTTGATATGTTCCTAACACAGGGGTCTTCAAACTTGGCAAGTTTAAGACTTGTGGACTTCAACTCCCAGAATTCCTGAGCTAACATGACTGGAGGAGGAATTCTGGGAGTTGAAGTCTTAAAGCTGTCAAGTTTGAAGATTCCTGTCCTAATAAATGGGCACCTTAGATTTTTATTCTGGGGACATATTACTTGGAACCTTGACATTGTGATTCACTTAATGGTTGTCATAGAAACAGTTATAAAATTGAGCCAGCTCACACAGTGACTCACTTACAGTAACAACCATTATGACTTAGGATCAAAATTCTGGGCTCTGTTGTGGTTGTAAGTCAAGGGCAACCTGTATTTGGAAGACTTAAAAAAAATCAGTATCTCAGACCTTCTAGGAATTCTGAAAAGACATCTGAAGAACTGCCTTGAGCTGTTAGTAACAATGATTTTGCAAGGTACCACTACCAGGCAAAAAATGGATAAAAATAAAGGTATCGATTATTACTAAAGGGTATATACTATACTAGAAATGTACATTATAACTCAGATAATAAAAGTAAGTGTAGAACAATATTTCGTTTGCCCCTTGGGACGGTCATAAATTCAGTCCCTGGCACCTTGAATTGATAGGCCAGATAGGAATAAGAAAGACCGGTGTTGTTGGTTAGTGGAAACAAGGCTGGGTTAGATGGATAAAGAGCTGGATATGGCATAAAACTGTTTCCTGTGGAGCTAAAGTGGTATTAATGAGGCCATAAGGAGATTCCTTTGTCCTTCTACAAGGGCAATTTCTGGCCCAGTGGTGGGTAGACTGGAAACTGCAGCAGGAATAATTGAATGCTGGAAATCCTCCAACTGATCTAGTACAAGGCAGGAGTAACTAATGGGGTACATAGGAGTGGCTTCTTAGGGAGACTTGGATAGCCGTACAGCAGGAGCAGGAGATTATTATATTATCTGCTCTGACCTTTGCAAGTTACTGCAAGGCACAGCAGCCATTTTACACTTAGCTTTCTTTCTATCTCTAGCAGCGAAAACGGCCGTAATACCTTCACAAATTAAGGGTAGTGCCGCAGCAAGAACTTTTCCCATTATCAGAAGCAAGATGGAGCAGCTAATGCAGCTCAGTTTTAAACAGATTTCTTCCAAAGTAGAGACAAAGTGGCACAAAGTAGTTACAGACAAAATTCTTGCAAATTTTGTCCTGTTACATTTCCATTCCTATATGGTGGGGTGGGGGAATTGCACCTGTGTTAGATTTTGGATTCTCTAAAAGGGAACAATCTTGGTGGAATAGCAAAAATGGGTTTTAATTTCCCAGCACAATTGCAGCAGTGAAGCAGTTCCTTTATTTATATTTAGCATTTTTTTTTAAAAAATGGAATCATTTTACCAATCGTGAGAACTTTTATTTAGCTAAGTAACAGATACACTACAAGCAGCCTAAGATTACTTTCAAAGGCAAATCATCAGATGGCTTTGTTTAGGGTTAAACATTACATTTATATTTAATGCATAACTTGTAGCTTCACATCATTTTAAAGGTATAATTAAAGATAAGGGAGATATAGGTTTTTTATCCTATTACAGCATGATGGGAAGAGAGTCATACTCCTGGAAGCACTAGTGAAAAACACTAAAGCTGATAATATCAAACTGGATTATTTTTTCCCCCATCATCCAAATAACTCTGATGAATTAGGTCCTATTCCTGTTTGATGCCATGATGGTTCATCTTTGGTATGCATGGAACAACTTCTTGGTCCATAATTACATACCCTGCAGGAAAACTAACCATCAGCTGGCTGTTACACAGACAAATAAAGAGGCTGAGTATTTTCTACATTGGTCGTTCTCCATTTCTTTCATTTCTGGAAGGATGAAATTAAATGTGGAAGATAAACTAACATGTCATGCACTCTGCATAATATGCAGCTTGATTTTTGATCTGCAGAGTGACTGGAGATGCAGTTTAACTTTTATAGCTTATGTAGCATTATCATAAATAAAACTACACAGTATAACTACAGTGGTGCATTTTAAATTAGAGGAAGGAATGCAGAGAAGGCTTGAAGGAGCAACCCTGAGAATGATCTAGAGGCTTATTTTACCATGTAGTTTTGTATGGAAAACAGAACATTCAACAGAGCTTTGAATGACAGAGTCATTTTTAGGCACTCTGCAAGATGGAGCTGTACACAAAAATGACAAAGAGTGCTGAGATGTGTGTGATAAGTAGATTGTCCAGTCACCTGTAAAAACTGCTCAGGAAATGCAGCACAATACCAATTGGTCTCTTCCTTACCTGCAGAAGCCTTGGTTGTCATACGCCACATTACTACCACCATCAGACTCCGCCTGGGTTTTAATATTTTTGTTGTTGTTGTTGTTGTTCCTGCCTTTCAAACCAAAGTAAGCTGCTTGCATATTTTCTAGCTCTTCACTTCTCAGCTGGTACCAGAACTGCATATCCCTGTAAAAAGAAGCCATGTTATCATCTGTAACAGATCACAGCAGATGTGTCCAGCATCTGAAATAGCCAATCACATCAAGTCTCTGTCAAGACTGTCATCCTGCTACACCAGCCATGCTTTGCCAGATGCCAGTCTGCCATAAGCAATGGGGGGAGGGAGCTGAGGGGAGGTAAAGGGGCGTTGGGATGAAGGGAGTCGGAACTTCCCTTTGGGAGTCCCATGGGAGCCACTGGCCACTTCAAGGTCATGGAATGGAAAGTGAGATCATCCAGCCTGCCAAGCCAGGGACGTTGCCAAAACAATTGGTTTGAATGTAATTGGATAGTTTAAGATAACCGGGGGGGGGGGGGGAGAACGGAAGAGTTAACCAGATGTTTTGGGCACAAAACCTCAGATCCACCTTTTCTACTTTGTAACCAGTTGGCTTTAGTAAAGTGTACTTTTTTGAACAATGGACTTGAGAGTCTTTCTTTTCTAGCTGACCAGGTTGAGATGGCTGACAGTCTCTGCAATTCACATGCCTGTCATGAGTCCCTCCCCTATTAACCTATCGCTTTTATATGATGCTGGCCTTATGCAATATAACTTAAATAAGCTAAGAAAGGCGTGATGAAAATACTGACCTTTTCTCCAGTTTAGTGGAAGGTCCCTTTTCATCTTCATTGCAAATGCAAGATTGTGTCCCATTGCCCCTGATTCTATCTTTCTATATCAGGGGTCCCCAAACGTGGCAACTCGTAAGACTTGTGGACTTCAACTCCTAGAATTCTCCAGCCAGCTGGAGTTGAAGTCCGCAAGTCTTAAAGTTGCCAAGTTTGGAGACCTCTGTTCTATACCATCATCTGAAATTCTGAATAATTGCAGTACACTATGTGTGAGTTGTATATATGGGATTCTCTCCACATAGGAAAGAACCCTGAAAAATCAATTTCCCAGAATATTAGGATAAGGTATCAAGATGGCTTGCAGCTGGATTGTTTGGACTAGAAGAATCTTTGGGTTTGAAATGAATACGCAGGATGAATGTTGAAGGAAAATGCCACTGAACTCAAAGCAAAGGTGAGAGTGAATCAGGAAGTTCGGAGAGAATTTTGGGCGGAACACAATTGAATGCAAATGACCAATGGGTATGATAGAAAAAAAATTGGAAGATTAAATAGAAAACAGGAGCTGGTTGACCAACTGGCACCAGTGCCAATTTGACCTTCAATTGGAGCAATAACAGTGAGGAGGGAATGTTGGTAAAGATGATGGCCATTAAAAGACAACAGCAATAAAACAGTATGGTACCTGTTGTGGAAATTGAACCGAAGGACTGGGATTTATGTATGAATGGGAATTGTGAGACTGATTGGGTTTAAGGGAGAAATGTATTCAAGAGGCATGCATAAGTACTTAAATTAACAATTAAATAACCCTTCATCTTCCTTGGCATATTATTGTGAACCCCTATGGCTAAAGGTTTGTGTCTTTGCCTTACCAGAAATCTGAGGAAGCCATTTTAGAAAATTCTACAGAGATGGCCAAGCACCTCAATTAATTGACTTGTAAAAGCTGCCAACCTGCCAGTCAGTAGAACAAAAAAATATTGTGAACTTGGTCTCTCAAATTAAGCTGGCCCAGAACTCTCCTGGAACAGCTTAATCTTGAATCAGATTAACATTTGGAGAAAAAACGTATTTTTGCTAAAAAAAAATATCAGTAAACATGGGTGGTGATAAGGCATTATCGTAGTTGGAAAACATATTCATAAATATGTATGTGCTGTATATATGTTATGTATGTATGTATATTTGCATGTATGTATGTAATATATTGGGCACATTCTAGGGTTGCCCAACTCCAGAACAATTCTGACAAATTAAAAAAAGGAGAAAAGTCGCAGTATCAAGACAACAGTTGCCCAGAGGGAAGATAATTTGATTCCCTAGATTTGAAGGAGGAAATGCATGAATGGTGACTCTCCTACCCTAATGCCACTTTAATGGCTTAATGCCCATGCTTAAGTGCTGGACTGAGGCTGAGAGATATAGGTTTAAGTTCTTACTTGACCACAGACTTTCCTAGATTATTCCCTGCTCTCTGCCAGACTCAACCTCATAGATTTACTGTTGTAAAGTTAAACTAAAACTAAAGAAACACCAAAAAGTATTTCTATAAATTCTATTTAAAAATGGCAGATGTGGTCATATGGAACATACAGAACCTTCCTGTTTATATTTGCAGCCAGGAGCAGGAAATGAGCACTTACTAAGAGAAAAGCAGAAGTAGAGCAACAGCTCTATCTTACAGCCACTTCAATTAACAGCCTAAACCCGGAAATATGATTCACCTTTGAGCCCTTCTTCTTTCACTTTTCTTAATACACTTGATAAGACAACAGGTTACAAAAGCCATCGACATCAGGAGTATAATGGCACAGCTCACAATGGAAGAAATCACGGCAACTTTAAATCCAAAGGTTTCATACTTGGATATGGCTGGAATAAAGCAAACACAGTTAGAAGCTGGCATTTGCATCTTGATATAACCTTCATACCCAATTAAATGCACCAACAGTAGGAGTGTTCTGACTTAGCTTCTATCTGGAAACATTTCAAAGCAAACTATTTCAAAGCCTCTTCTTTATAAGTGAGCAATGAAAATCTCACGAGGAACTTTGCACAGCAATCACTCCAACACAACTCAGACAAAAACAAAAGGGGGAGTAGTAACTTCAAAGCATCACTTCAGGATATCCCTGAGACAAGAGGACCTTGTAACTTGTCTTGGTTCGAGGCTCATGATTAATTGGGGCATCGGAACCCTGACAGAACTATGACTGTTGCCCTTGTCACTGCTATTTAAACTATTGTAGTATGTGTTATATGGGGCTGCTCATCAGGAAACTAGTTGGTACCAAATGTTGTGGCCTGGATGTTCGCTAACAGTCATCACTGTACTTAGCTTGGTGTGCAATTTAAAGTGCTGGTTTTAATCTACAAAGCCTCACCCACTGAAATCAACCTTAAAATTGTGTTTGTGTCAAGAGAAGCAGCTCATTTCCCATTTACAGGTCATGGAGGCTGATCCCCAATGGCACTGTACAGAACAACAAGAGGTGGAAGGGAGCTCCTAGTCCAACCTCCTGCTTAGGCAGGAAACCCTATACCATTTCAGACAAATGGTTATCCAGCTGTTTCTCAGTAGCAGCACCTAAAACTTGAGGTTAAACCAGCCCAGAGGTGGTATTCAGCAGGTTCTGACCAGTTATGGAGAACTAGTAGCGGAAATTTTGAGTAGTTCGGAAAACCGGCAAATACCACCTCTGACTGGAGATTTTACAGTATCCTTCCCCTGCTACGCCCACCAAGCCACGCTCATAGAACCAGTAATAAAAATTTTTTGAATCCCACCACTGAACCAGCCCCAAGCCTCAGCACTTTGTGGAAGAAACTAAAACTCTTCTAGAGAGATTTTGGATTGTGCTGCCTAGGATATTGGCACTTTTGCACAGTTGCTGTTGGATTTTTGTCTTTTTGCACTGTATTTTTATTGTATTTGTAAGCCACCACTACCTGTTTTAACATACACCAGCAAAACATGGATGCTAATATCACAATCAATACAAAATCTACAAGTAGCACAAAGAGCCATGGAAAGATACATGCTCAGCATCACAAGACGAGACAGAAAAACCTGCACATGGATAAGAGAACCAATGAAATTAACAACGCCATCATAAGAGTAAAAGAATTGAAATGGAAATAGACGGGTCACATAGCAAGAAGAACGGATGGTAAGTGAACTGCAGCAGTCAAAGAATGGATCCAGCTTGATAAAAAGAATCCACAAAAGATACCTAAAACAAGATAGAGTGACAATATCAGCAAGCATTGTGGGCCCAACTGAGAAAGGAAAGCTCAAGACCATATCAGTTGGGAACATGCAGAAAATGCCTTCATCCTGCAGAGGATGGAGAATGGCTGGAATGGTGATGATGAAGCTATTGGTAGGATAGAAATCAAATGCATACATACATTAAGGTCGGAGTGCGCAATCAGTGTTATAGGGCTAAGGCTAGAGTATGGTATGGTTGAATCTTGTTATTAAGGCCCATGTACCAGTAGAGATAACCAAGTGACTTGAGATGTTGGCAGTGGGCTCTCTACTGGTACATGGTCCTTAATAACAAGATTCAATCATACCATACTCTAGTCTTAGCCCTATAACACTGATTGTGCACTTTTGTATACTTTTGTTGCTAATTTGCCTTCACTGGTAAGAGAGGAAAGGAAGGAGGAAGAAACCTCAGATACCTTGCTTTCTCTTTGGAGGATTGCTTCAGAAGATGGACCTGAAACTCCAGCTAGTGTAGAACACAGCTTTCATGGGAGCAAAGCAGTCAGAACATCCGACATCTCTAGTGTGTCAGTTGTATGATGACCAGTAAGGTCCTGAACTCAACTGCACATGCTGGTTTTGATATTTAAAGCCTTAAAACTGATCAAGTTCACCTTCACTCCTGTTGATCTGCTTCCATTTTCAGGAATGGAAATCCTTCTTACCTTCTGCTCCTTGACAGCAGTTAAGCCAATTAATGCAAGTGGAACCACCCACCATCCTATGGAATGTACTGCCCTGGGGCTGACTCATTCCCAATTCTTCTCTAAAACCTCTAAACTCCCATTTGTTTTTCTCAAGACTTCTCCTAAATGGGATTCTACTGTTCTGTTGTGGTTTCAACTCCATACGAGTTCAGTTTTAATACTGTGACAGTATGTTGGTGGGCTTTATTAATATTTTTATTATGCTCTTTATACTTTTATTGCTATAAGCTGCCTTGAGAAAGTTCTTGTCCTTTAGGATAGCCTGGAAATATTCTAAACATATTTAATATGTTTTTTATTTTTAATATAACATTTTCTCTCTAGAATAGTCAAATGAAGTGGAAACTACAGATAAAAAGGAAGAAGAAAATTTCAATGTGGTATAGAATAGAATACTTCATTGGCTAAGTATGAATGGACACACAAGGAATTTGTCTTGGTGTAAATACTCTCAGTATACATAAAGAAAAAGTACATTCATTAAGAATCAAGAATCATAACGTACAACACTTAATGATAGTCATAGGGTACAATCAAATCATACTAGGAAACAGTCAAGTGGGAGGGGATGGGTCATAAGGAGTGGTGAGAAGATTAACAGTAATAGTAGTGTACACTTTGTAAATAGTTGAACAGTGTTGATGGAATTATTTGTTTTGCAGAGTGATGGCTTTCGGGAAAAAACTGTCCTAGTTGTTCTGGTGTGCAGTGCTCTATAGCATCATTTTGAGGGAAGGAGTTGAAACAGTTTATGTCTGTTGAAACAGGATGTGAGGGATCTATAAATATTTCCACAGTCCTCTTTTTGACTCGTGCAGTATACAGGTCCTCAGTTGAAGTCAGGTGGGTAATAATTGTTTTTTCTGTAGTCCTAATTATCCTCTGAAGTCTGTGTCTGTCCTGTTGGGCTGCAGAACCAAACCAGACAGTTATAGAGGCGCAGATGATAGACTTAATAATTCCTCTGTAGAATTGTATCAGCAGCTCCTTGGGCACTTTGAGCTTTCTGAGTTGGCACAGAAAGATCATTCTTTGTTGTGCTTTTTTGATGATGTTTTTGATGTTAGATGTCCATTTTAGGTCATGTGATATAGTAGAACCTAGAAATTTGAAGGTCTCTACTGTTGATACTGTGTTGTCTAGTATTGTAAGAGGTGGTAATATAGGAGGGTTTCTTCTAAAGTCTACGACCATTTCTACAGTTTTGAGTGTGTTCAGATCCAGATTGTTCCGGTTATACCACAAGGCAAGTTGTATAACCTGTCTGTACATCGTTGTCTCAAATGAGACCAATCACTGTTGTGTCATCAGTAAACTTCAGTATTTTAATGGATGGATCATTTGAGATGCAGTCATTGGTATATAGGGAGAAGAGAAGTGGAGATAGCACACAGCCTTGGGGACCCCCTGTGCTGATTGTACAGGTATCAGATGTGATTCTGCCTAGCTTCACCTGCTGCTTCCTGTCTGTTAGGAAGCTTATGATCCACTTACAAGTGTGTTCAGGTACCGCTAGTTGGTTTAATTTACTTAGAAGAGTGTCTGGAATGATGGTATTGAATGCTGAACTGAAGTCTACAAAGAGGACCCTTGCGTAGGTATTTGGAGATTCAAGGTGTTGTAGGATATAATGCAGAGCCATGTTAACAGCATTATCTGTCAATCTATTTCCTCGGTATGCAAACTGCATGGGATCTAACAGCAGATCCGTGATGGTTTTCAGGTAGGACAGCACAAGCCTTTCAAAGATTTTCATAACTACAGATGTTAGAGCAACTGGTCTGTAGTCATTCAGTTCCTTGATGGAGGGCTTCTTTGGCACTGGAATGATGGTAGAACGTTTGAAGCAGGAAGGAACATAGCACATCTCTAGTCATCTATTGAAGATTCAGGTGAAGATGGGGGCCAATTGGTCAGCATAGACTTTTAAGCAAAGAGTTATCTTGTCTGGCCCTGGTGCTTTTCCTGGCTTCTGTCTGTGTAATAGATCTTGCACTTCTTTTTCTGTGATCACCAGAGGTTGTGAGCCCAAAGGATTGGGGCCAGTTGTAGGAAGCTTGGCTGTTGTTGGTGTGTTTGAGATGTGGGTTGTGGAGATAGGTGGCTGTAGCTTCTTTTCAAACCTGCAGTAAAACACATTCAGGTCATCTGCTAGTTGTTGATTTCTTTCTGCTTGGGAAGGAGGTTTGCTGAAGCCAGTGATGTTTTTAAGAGTTTTCCACATGTTTGCTGGTTCCTTTGTTGAGAATTGATTCTTTAATTTTTCAAGGTAGCTTCTTTTTGCTGCTCTGATCTCTCTTGTTAATATGTTTCTGGCCTGGTTGTATAGCATTCTGTCACCTTTCCTGTAGGCTTCCTCTTTGGAATGACGTAGCTGCTTAAGTTTAGCTGTAAACCAAGGTTTATTGTTACTATATATTTGCAGGTTCCTTGTTGGTACACATAAGTCTTCGCAGAAGCTAACATATGATGTTACAGTATCTGTGAGCTCATCTAGGTCTGCAGAGGCATCTTCAAAAACATTCCAATCAGTGCAATCAAGGCAGGCCTGGAGTTTCAGCTTTGTCTCATCTGACCAAGGCATCACTGATTTAATTGTTGGTTTAATGGTTTTAAGTCTTTGTCTGTAGGCAGGTACAAGGTGAATCATGCAGTGGTCAGTGTCCCACAGCTGTTCGTGGTAAAGACCTATAAGCATCGTTTATTGTTGTGTAGCAGTGGTCTGAAGTATTTTTGCCTCTGGTGGGACAATTTACAATGTTTACATGGAAATATTTTGGGAGCTCTTTCCTTAAATTTGCTTGATTGAAATCTCCTAAAATGATGGGAAGGGAACCTGGGTGTTTGGCTTCAGCCTCCATAATTTGATCAGCAAGAGTTCGTAATGCCTTGTTTACACAGGCTTGTGGAGGAACATACACAGCTATTAGGAGAAATGAGGACAACTCACGCTTGCAGTTGATGTGTAAAGACTCTAAGTTTTCATCACAAAACTTATATATTATAGTTATATCCTGAGACCAGCTGTTGTTGATATATAAACATAATCCTCCACCCTTTGTTTTACCTGATGTCTCTTCAATTCTGTCTGATCTAAATGTCTGAAATCCTGGGATGTATATGGTGTTGTCCCCATGAATTTGTGGATTAAGCCAGGTTTCAGTAAAACAAAGAACAGCTGAATTATGAAAATCAGAATTCCATCTATTTAAGAGATGAATTTCATCCATCTTGTTAGCCAGTGAGCATAAATTAGTCAGAAAGATTGAAAGGAGAGGAGTTTTTTCCCTATTCCTTAGTCTGTTTAAAATTCCCCCTCGTTTACCTCATCTCCTCTTCCGGCATGGTCGCTTCTTTGCTTTCTTTGTTGTAATCCATAGCACCTGGGAATTGGTTAGAATCTCCTCCACATTTGCAAAGACAGGTGGGGGTGGGGAATCAGAAAGCTGCTCCTTAAGGAAACATTGCCTAATTCTTAGCAGATGGTCTTGTGAGTATGAAATCCATAGTGAATTGCAGATAATAATAAGGAATAAAGAAACCATTAGAGAGCATTTCACCGAGGCAGCCATTGTCAACGCCATCTTGGCTGAGAGATTTATTATTTATTATTATTTATTTGTTTACCATCCCATTAAAATCTCAAAGAATGGCATAATTGAAGAATTTATTTGAATGCTCTTGATTAACTGGGTTATGTTGGAGGAAAAGCAGAAAAAGCTGTAGTAGCATTTGGAAGATTAACATACTTCTTAAGACATTAACTTTCATAGAGTTAGGTGCAGCCCACTGACTGAACGGCTTATAATCCAACAAAGCCAATGAGAAATGTAATAATAGTTTTTAAATTGTTGTGTGATTTTTGTGGTTTTTATGATGCTGACACCTACTTTCTAGGAAACTGACAGGAACATAGGCTTACACACAATTTTAAAAAGGCTGCAGTCTGACTTCCTTTGCTAGCGTGGAGTTATAAACAATAGCCTGTTTTTGTTGTTGTTGTTAAGAAAATCCTATCCGTTTTTATCAACACATTTAGAATTTAAAACTGAACATTTATCTGAGCTGGAAGGTGTTGAGCAAATATATGTATCCCAGATAGGAAGATGGGTGATATTAATTAATTAATTAATCAATTAATTAATTAATTAATTGTCATGCAAGACTTAAAGAAACAAAAATGAAGCAAATGAAAGCGTAACATTATTTTTAATTAAATTTCATCTTTAAGAAAACCCCTGTGGCATTTCTATTCAGCATCAAGTCTTTTTTTGGTAACAGTCCGCAATCTCGGAAAAGGAATAGAATTGCAAAGTCTGAAATCTGCTCTTCTGTCCTGCAACCGCTATCATCAGTTTTTATAGTAGTATAGATCACCTACATATCAACCATCAGTTTTTACAGTAGTGTAGATTGCCTACATGTCAGAAAGAGATTCTGAAAATTATACAAATCATTTAGCAGGCAGAGGAGAATGGAAAAAAAAACACTTACGTATACATGAAGGCGTGTCACCTGTCCACTGTGTAGCATTTTCTTTCCAAATGCATGTGACAACTCCATGACCAATCAGCTGATGCTCTTCAGAACAACGAAATGTAATTACAGAGCCAACAGTGGTACCATTTCCATAGATTATCTGTGATGAGCCAAGATGAGGGGGAAATATCCGGCTGCATTGTCCTATTCAAAAGGGGAGAATAAAAGCAGTTGTTTTATTTTTATTGCCATGTATTTTTGGCAGAAACTCATTTAGCATGAATGCATCTGAAAAACATCATGAGATTAAAAACAATTGAGATGAAATGAGTTAGTATCTGGTATAGAACTGTGAGAAAGAGTTATGCTAGGAACTTAAAAGAACAGTCTTAATGATAAACTGTGCACCAAAAGCACTCTAAATTTGTGAGATCCTTAAAGATGAAACAAAAAATATTCAGAAATGCAAAAAAGCAAAAGCAAAATGGCTGTTTGCCAATAGTGAAAATAGTTGGAGAAGGATGGAAAATAAAAAGGCAGCACAGATAGAAGAAAATTTGCTCAACAAAATGTGGAGATCTAGATAAGCACAAGGAAACAAGAAATCACTTACTGTATGTCTAAATAAGTAAGGAATTGAAGGATAACAATTAGTTGGGAAGTATAAGCAGATTTGTGTTAAAAAATTACAGAAATCAAAGGAAACATGATAAGTATAATAAAAGGCAAAGGAATCAAACCTGTAATGATTAAAGAAAATATAATCAGAATTGAGATGGTGAGAACTGCATAAAACAATCCAAATCCATTACAGTTATTCCTTGACTTGAGCCCAAAATTTTTATTGCCAAGCAAGACAGTTGTTAAGTGCATTTTGCCCCATTTTACAACCTTTCTTGCCACAGTTGTTAAGTGAATCACTGCAGTTGTTAAGTGAGTGTGGCTTCCATATGGTGGAAAGTTGCAAAAGGTGATCACATGACCTTGGGACCCTGCAACCATACATGCCAGTTGCCAAGTGTCCAATTTTGATTATGTCACCATGGGGATGCTGCAACAGTCATACGTGTGAAAAATGGTTGTAAGCCACTTTTTCCAGTGCGGTTGTAACTTTGAATAGTCATTAAACAAATGGTTGTAAGTCAAGGACCACCTGTATAAAAGTTTGACCACAGAACTAGAGCCAGACATTAAGTTAAAGGACCCAAAAAAGCTGCAGGAGTTGATGAAATAGCAACGGAACTTCTAAGTCTTCCATAATACAATTAAAGTGCTATTATATGTTTTGGGCGCAGATATTTTATTTATTTTATTTATTTTGTCAAGCAAGCATTTGATTATATATATATATATATATATATATATATATATAATTTATACATGAATTATTAAACATGAAATAGGTACAAATAAAAGGGAACATTAAGACAGGGATGGTAGGCACATTGGTGCGCTTATGCACGCCCCTTACAGACTTGGGATGAGGTCAACAGTAGCCGACAGACTAGAAAATATCAATTTATACTATAATTTACCAGAAAACGTAACATTGCTAAAGAATGCTAGTAAGACTACTGAACATTTGTGTTTATTTCACATGCTTGCAAGGGAATGCTCAAGATTTTGTAATTCAATTTTCAACCATATACAGACTGTGGATTTCCCCGTGTACAAGCCAGGGGTGGGATTCTACCAATTCGCACCTATTCTCTAGAACCGGTTGTTAACATTCTAAGCAGTTCGGAGAACTGGTTGTTGAAAGAAATTAATGGCCTAATCCTGTAAGGAAGGCAGGAAGGAAACATTCTGGTGTTGCTTGCAGAAACTCCCTCTCCATTAACCCTTATTACATTCTTGGCAGGACTAGACTTGGAACTTCCCTGGAAATTTTTTCCCCTCCTTTGCTGGTACTTTGCTTGTGTGGAGTGACCATTCAAAATTACAATGGCACTGAAAAAAGTGACTTATGACCTTTTTTCACACTTATGACTGTTGCAGCATCCCCACAGTCATGAGAGGCCAGGTGAGGAAATGTGTGCCTCGATGTGAGTGATATTGAGTTGGCCACGCCCAGCCAATAACATGACCACCAACCCATGTCCACCCAGTCATATGATCACCAAGCCATGCCACCACCTAAGCCATGCCCACAGAACTGGTTGTTAAAATTTTGAATCCCACCCCTGGTACAAGCTGAATTCAGAAGAGGTAGAGGCACCTTGGATACTTTCCTAACAAATTGACTGGCAACTGTCCAGATTTTGTTGAAATATGGGTGGCAATAGAAATATTTTAAATGTTTTAAATATAACTAAATATGTTGAATAGTGGCACAGAAGGGGAATTCCCAAAATACACTTATACATACATATAAAACCCAGTAACTTAATCATCCCCTTGGGATACCTCTCCCCACTACAGAAATCCTCACTCTACCCTAGTATCTCAGTAAAAAGCAAAGTCTTGATGGACTTTTGAAAGCTGTAAGAGTGGGGCCTGCTGAACCATACAACTACATGCACACTTATAGTCTATGCAGAACATACTGTGAGACAAGCTTAATTTGCAGAAATAGAAATGTTTCCGGGAAAAGCACCAATAATCTCAGATATGTTAATTACTCAGTATAATGGCTAGAAGGGAGGAAAAATTAAGGAATTGCCTATTAAAGATGAAAGAACAGAATACCAACATTGGCCTGCTAATGGTAGAATGTAGTCTGAAATTGTGGGAGGGAAGGGTTGTTTCCTGGGGGCAAAGAAAAAATGGAAATGGAATGACTGGTAGGCAGGAAGAAGGTGAGGACAAACAGTCTAGCAATTTACAGAGATTATCTAATAGTAATTCAGATAGTTCCTTTAGTCTGGCAAGATTCCGTTTGTAAGCAAACAATAAAGAACTATAAGTAGCTCGACATGTCATCCTTGGTTCTTTGAGCTACAATTATAGAGCTGAAGTAAAGTTTATTTGGCTAATACATATGGAGTACTTCACAGGCTTGAAATATGCTAAATGGTGGCATTACAGTTCCAAAGGTGACAAGAAATTTCCAAACTCTGTATCTTACCCAAAACAAACTCATGGGATATTAAGTGTATAGCTGACAAGTCCTTACAATCTCAAAGAGATAAATGTTGCTCCCTTTTCATCACCTAGAACAAGGGTGTCAAACTCACATCGTCATGGTAGCATCACATGACATATCAGAACTTTTTCCCCCTTCGCTAAACTGGGTATGGGCAGTGCGTGACACATCTGGCCAGTGGGCCAGGAGTTTGACAGCCCTGACCTAGAAGCTGAGCTCCATATTTCAGATGTCTGTTTCATTAGACCAAGTATTCTTATATCTGAATTATTACTTCATTTCTAGCTCGAATGAAGACTAATTCAACATAATAATTTTGCCTTCATTTGTAATAATTTAACACTTCATATGCTATATAGTTTCCTAAGAATAACACATATGGCACACATGCTCTGGCATTAATATTTAAAGAATATTGTTGTAATTTGCTTTAAGTATGGCTTGTTGTAATTTAGTTTAAGTATGGCTTCTCTTTCATTAAGAAATATTACAAGTGAAATCCAATGTCCTGCCAGGAGGATTATCTTGCCAGACATTGGAAGTCAAGCAAGGCAACTGAAAGGAGAAAGACCAAATATTAGATCCAATGACAAAAGTCATACCATCAGGAGAAAATATGCGTACCATATAGCTACCAAATCCTTGCATTTAAAGATCTTCCTGGCGCTATGCCATTTCCCTTTGGTTTAGGATTTATTTGAATTGTATTTTCTTTTCTACAACCATCTAGATCAAGTTTTAATATCTGTGGCTCAACCCTCTTCAGTCTTAGTGGTGTTCAGGTTTCCAGTTGAGACAATAATACCTTCCCCACCAGAATCATAAAAATGAAAGATAGTTGCAGGAAACTCATTTCAGTGATAGATGGAGGTGTAACAAGTGCTCCATTATGCCTGACAAGTTCTCTATTAGGCCTTATTTTGAGGCTTAAAGAAGCGACCACATTCTTTTTTTTTAATTTTAATTTGAAAAGAATGCTTATCACTAAAATTGATGAGAGTTGAAAGAATGCACCCCACCACCCTGAACTTTAGGACAGGGCACCTAAAATCAAGATACAATTAAAAATGTCCTTCCGTGCCCTGTTTCCTACCAGAAAAGTTATTCAACCTCGGTATGTAAAAAAACCACAGAGACATAACCTGCTCTGTGCTGCCAACAATGACTGCACTGTAGGCAAAAGTGGCAGCAATTAGTTTAATTGGAGGCCTGCAGGATGTTGTCCACCAAATTATTGTCTCTCCTGTAACAGAAAAGGGCAGTTTGTACGACTGTGCTATAAACAACACAACTAATTTCTGGGAGACAAACTTGATGGGATTCTATAATAAATGAAGATCACAGCATACAATAATTAGGGGGAAATATTCAAGAGTGCACATAAAAGTTTGCTTTTGCAGATTTGCTTGTATGGTTTCCTTCTTCAGTTGTAGATGAGCTTCTTCTTGGGTACAGACTATTAGCCAGGGATATGTTAGAAACAAGAGTGCCAGCACTGCTCAAAGCAAAATGAAGAATGGCAGGGGGTAGGATAGAAAGACAAGATAGACAGAATTGTCACAGCCAGGCTGTTACAAATTGTTCAGGCAGATGAGCTGCAAAGTGTCATGGCTATCAAGGACCAGAACTGCTACTAGATCACACCTGGCTCCAAGCTTCAGCTTTCTCAGCAGATTTCATCCATACCTACTTGTCCGTGGTCCTTTCTCTTCCACAGCCCAACCTCATTTCCTGCAAATGCTTAAGTTAAGCATACAAATGCTTAAGTTACTCAGCTAAGCAGGACTGACTTTCTGGTGGAAAGCAATTGTCCTAGACCTAGACTCATAACAGCAAAAAATAAAAACCTCAGATATGATCTATCTGATTAGTTCTCCATCGGAGTTAAAGAAGGGCAGGATTAAGAAATAATGCTGAAAAGATTTCTTTTAAGCCTATAAAAAAATGCAGGGTATATTCTTCAAGAATTATTCTTCACAATCAAAGACAAAAGACTGAGCTCACTCTGTATTGAGAACAATTTAACAGATTAGAGGAAAGGACTCCACTCTGAAGCCTGAAATACTGACCCTGTCTAGCCCAGGAGACCTGGTGAAGCAATATATATTTCAACTGAATT